TATAGGTTTACATGCATACATACATTTCGAAAAGTATCATCATCTGTAATTTTTCTATCAATCATACTAATGTTTAATATAATCCTTTAATTTCTTTTAGAAATTAAATTTAAAAAAAAAGAAATTTATTCTTTGCGTTGCATGGCATTAATCCACTTCCTATAGCCATAGAAAAAGAGGCCTGCCTGAGCGCACTCGGACCGTCGAGTAACGACAAACTTAAACCGGGAAATCTCACAACCCGCTTAGAGATATTGAAAAACTTCTTGGACGAACCTTTTCGTCCTTGAGTCAAGACAAATTTCATTCGAGTATCTCAAAAATTACGTTGAACAGAAAAAAACAACGCACAAGGACAGGCGGACGGACAAGTTTAAATAGTTTCAGAAAACGATTCCGAATAAAAGGCATAATAAAATTCTTGATGAAATTCCATTCGATTCCATTGGAATGATGTGGAATAAAATGTCATTTTAGATTTAGAATATCAATTCCAATACTTGTTGTTTTCAAAACGTATATATGAAAATAATCAGTAAGCCAAGCAATTGTTGAAGAAAAGTTTACTTTCAAATATTGTCATATCGACAAATAATCAGTTTCTAATTATCTTTCGTGTTATGTGCAACTTTTTTTATTAATAATTGTCAATAAAAATTGTTCGTTTAAAATTTAAAAAAAAAAAGAAAATTATGGAATATATGAAATTGTTAAATAATTCGTTTACAAATCTCGAAGTATGCGAACTAAATAATTACACTTACAAAATATGTGAAAGTGGTGCGAAATTTTATCATTTCTTCATTGAAAAAAGTTTCACTTCATTAAAAACTTTCGATCTATTATTATTATACTCATTCGTTATCACGTTTATTGCCTTTTCGATTACGATCATATTTATAGTCTTCGAACCGGAACATTTAGTAAGTAAAAAAAAAGCAGCAAAATAATCTTTGTTTTTATTGAAAAAATCAAATTTCTTTTCTTAAAGGTTTTCAATTTTGCAAAATTTCACTCTTTACGTGTATCAAGAATGATTAGGAATATGGCAGCAAACGTCCGAAAGAGTGGTGGGAGAGTAGATACAAAATTTAATTCCAAAGACTTAAAAAACTTGAAAACTTCACCGAAAGCAATCGAATTAAATAAGGCGTTGCCATTGAAAGATTTACGAATTAAATTTAGCACTGAAATGATTTAAAGGGATGCTGATCGAATTTCATGTTCTGATGATAAACTTCCCGATACTTGTTTAGCCAAGAAGAAGAATAGTAACGTAAACTTTGTAACAAATTCTTGCCATCAATTTAAGCTAAAACCCAATTCAAGTAAAAATGTAAATTTAAAGTAATTCAAATCAAACCAAAAAATTGTAAATGTTCAAAACTCTTAAATAAATTCTTCTTATAGTAAAAATAAATTTTTAAAAGAACATGGGAGACTTTCTTTTCAAATTCTTCAAACCAGTTTTTGAGATGGCTGTTTTCCATTTCTACGTGGTTCGTGTCTAAAATCCTCCTTGGCTTATGTCTCAACTCTTTGAAATAATATGTTGCCAGATTGGATTGAAAAAGTCGAAGAGAAATCCATTCAATCGGTAAGATTTTCTAACCGTGACAACTCTGTTCGGTCTTGCTGTGTCATTTTTAGTTTACGAATTATTTGGAAGTACCCGGATTTTTTGTTTTTATTAACAATTTAATAAAAAGGAAACAGAAAAAAGCAAAAGTTTTTCTTTAAGGATTTAAAAAATGGCATCAGAACGATACAGCTTTTCTTTAACCACGTTCAGGTATAAACAGAGAAGCAAACAAATTATTGCCGCTGGAAAACATGACAAGAATTAAAACATAACCTGAACGATGATCAGAAAAAAAATTAATTTTTCAATTTTATTTATAACAGTCCTTCAGGCAAACTCGTTCAATTGGAATATGCATTAGCTGCTGTTTCAGCTGGAGCACCGTCTGTGGGCATAGTAGGTAAATGACATAAGAAGTAATGCCAAATCTTTATCCATTCAGTTAAGTCGCAATGATTGCATTTTCTAGCTTCCAATGGTGTTGTCATTGCTACGGAAAACAAGCACAAATCAATTTTGTATGAAGAGCATAGTGTACATCGCGTAGAAATGGTCACTGGACATATTGGTATGGTTTATTCTGGTATGGGTCCTGATTACCGGCTTTTGGTAAAACAAGCTAGAAAACTTGCACAAAATTATTACTTGACTTATAAAGAACCGATACCAGTATCTCAATTGGTGCAACGGGTCGCTACCTTAATGCAGGAATACACTCAAACTGGGTAAGCAAGTAAATACGTAGCCATTTGCTGAACAAATTAAAAAATGTTCTTTTAAAATTAATTTAATTAGTGGCGTTAGACCTTTCGGTGTATCGTTATTGGTATGCGGTTGGGATCACAATCGTCCTTATTTATTCCAATGTGATCCATCTGGAGCTTATTTTGCTTGGAAAGCCACTGCTATGGGTAAAAATGCCGTAAATGGTAAAACTTTCTTAGAGAAACGGTAATAATAGCAAATATTTTTTTTATGGAAAAAAAAGGATTAAATTATCGTTTTTTTTTTTTAAATTATAGATATAGTGAAGATTTGGAACTTGATGATGCTGTGCATACGGCAATTCTGACACTAAAAGAAGGATTTGAAGGTAAAATGACTGCTGATAATATAGAGGTGGGCATTTGCGATCGCAACGGTTTCAAACGTTTAGACTCTTCAACGGTCAAGGATTACTTAGTCAACATCCCTTAGACTTTTACAACTATTTTATCTTTATAAAAAGATCAGAACCGGATATGAATATGTTTAAACTTATTTTAAGTTACAAAAAATCCGAAGCGTCGAATGTGGTTTGTGTTTTCAAATATACATATATATATATATAAATACATTGATTGTTGGAGGCCGATTGTTTTCCTGCACAAATCCTAAATGAAAGAAGAAGATTGAAAAGATTTTACGCGTGTGAGACAGAGTGTTGGCGTGCAATACCATACGATATTTCAAACTTAAAATTCAGCTTGACCCGGATATTTATACCCTAATCGGCGTGAAAGTCGACTAGATTAAACAATCTGTCTGTCCGTCTATGTTTTGTACGGTATAGATAGATCAACAGGCGAAGAGGCTGGCAGATCGATTTAGAAAGTGATTCTGAATCGAACGGTATAATAAAAGATGGATCACACATCCTCCTAGATGTTGCATACATCCACACAAACGTCACATACCCTTTGTGTAAACACAACATTTGGAATAGAGTATGAAAACTGGATTTACCTAACGTCTCTGAAAGTTGTTATGTTTGCAGCGTTTGTGCAGCGAGTGTGCATGCCAGTTAGTAGCGATAATTTGGTTTTTTTTTTTTTTTGATTTTGTGGTCATTATTAAAGGTTTAGGTTTTTTAACAAGTGCATGCTTTATACTAATTTGTACTTCTCGGTAAATCGCAAGGACATCTTAGCATGTTTTTGGCTTATGTTCGGACCTTGCTATGTTTTTGAGCGGGATATTGTCAATTGAGAGAAATTAACGGGATGAGTGATAGTGCAGAGTCATGCTAACAATAAATAATTTCTTATAAATTTGAAGTGAGTCTTATAGTACGAAAACTACGATACATTACAAGCATTTGATAGCTTTAATATCTCCTATCTGATGAATATACACAGAGTACATCTTATGCTATCTCATAAACTTTCTTTCTGAGAGCTACAATCTGAAACCCAAAACCGAACAGGTGCTATTATTTATATTCTAACTATGTTCGATAAACACGCGCAAAGTTTTAAGCGAATTGAAAAGCTTTCCAGAAGAGACATAACTTTTGAAAAAGGTACTTTTTAGTTAAGAAAAAAATCAATTTCTTTTTGCCGGCAAATGAAGCGATGGCGGGATTTACCTAAAAGAAAAGCGTCGTTTCAGAATCATACAATATGGAATTCTGATTTTAAAGAAGCAAAAGTCGGGCTGGCGTCGCAGCCTTTCCCTCTAATGGCCATTTTACGGAGTTAAGCATATTGTAGCATTGTAGCATTTGGGATATGTTGCTCGAGGGCAATTTGACGATCAAAAGATTTCAGTTTCGCTAATGCAGAATTATGAGAACTTTATAGGCAATTATAAACTCTGAACTTATATCAATGAATCATAGACGCTTATTTTCAGTTGGCGGCAAATTTTTGTAATAAACTGTCTACCTGTCTCTACTTGATCAGAATCAAATTCTAAACCGATTTAACCGTATCCGCATTTCCGCCTTTCAAAAACCGTCCTCAACATTCTTGCATTCAAATTTGGCAGTATTGCGCGCCAGGTAACAAAACATATAGTAACTTATATAAGACTACCAAAAATACCGGGCAAAAGTCAATTAAGCGAACAATGCGATAAGATCGAATCGCTTTTCTTAAACTACAAAATAAAATCTCTAATTGCATAAAAATAACACATTTGACATAAAATTTGAAATACGGGAAAACTGGTTTAAAATCAAAGACCAGAAAAACCATTTTTTTTATATATACAACAACAACAAACACCACCCGAGCAATTTAATTACTTTAATATCTTACATACTCTTTGGCTCTTAAATTTAAGTTTTTTAAATATAATTAAAAGAAAGTGGTATCGTGCATTTTAATGCATATCGAGGATGTAAGGATTCAAAAACACGTAATAGGTTGCAATGATTCTTATCGTAACACTAACCAAATAATAATATTGAAAGACAATAAATATCTAGGCATTCCTTTCTGAGTTTAGCAAAACAATGGATTTTCAATTTAATTTGCCCTCAAGTAATACGGACCTATTAAATTCGAGTGGCGACAGTTATTATGTGAAGCATTTGTATAGTATACTATACGACTAGAAAAGTATACTATACGACCGAAAAGTATACTATACGACCAGAAAAGTATACTTTCTACCGAAAGACTGTGAAATGAAAATACAAGAAGCAAGTTCCACATTTTGGACCTTTTACTTAAACGAGGAAGACAAAGAGAAGAAATGTTAAATTTGTTGGCTTACATTGTTAAAGAACATTGTGAGGGTACGACAAAAAAAAAACAAGTAAGAACACTATTTTCAATCAATGAGAAATGTTTTTTGGGTCGTAAGCTATACTTTTCTGGTCTGACTTTCTAAGCAAAGCTTTGTCAATTTTCACTAGTTATTCCTTGGTTATAAAACTCTTCCTTGGCTGAAATTTTCAAAATCTACAAGCTCTATTATTTTTGTTTTCTATTTATTTATGTAAACAATTCATAATAGTAATCAGCTGTAATCAGAACATTTTCGGATTAAAATTATAAAATTGCGTTATGGCCTTATTTCTTTATTTTGTTTTATAAGCGCTATTACGGGCATTGTTTCTCTTTTTGTTCTGTGTTAATTTCCTAAGAATGTACAAATGATTTGAGATTAAAAAGACGATTTTTGTAATTTTGTATTGAAAGAGTACCGGATCGAAATGAGGACGCTAGTAAAATTCAATTATCACGTAAACATCACACATTTTAAGACGCAAGGAAAGCTATGAACATAAAATTAAAACAAATCAGCTGCTGTACGCTTTATGAAATATGTTCTACATAAATATGATAGATCAGCTGTTACCAAGGATGATTTTAAAATGGAAGAATGAAATGAAAAACAAACGCAGTGAACAATATTATCCCTTGTTTATCTGCAGTCATCTATTAAAGAGAAAACGACTTTCAACGGGCGATCTGTTATCATCTTAGGAAAACTGAAATGTTCAAATGTTTTATGTTATAAAAATGAAAAGAATTATTTCGAAAAATCAAAACACGTATTCATATAGTTCAGTGAAATCGGTGGACGTTTTTTCCGTTTATATCATAAGGTTTTAATACCTTTTTAACAAAATAAAAAAATTCTATTTGCTAAAAATGGTGGAATTTCACAATCCTACATCGAATAATTATGATTTTGTGATGGCAACCTAGTGCCACTATTTACCAAATGCATATAAACAAAGGATTTTGTTCTTTCTTCGCTAAAATAACAAAAAACATAAAAGCCAACAGACAAAGAAAGGAAATATCAATTATTTATTAAAGTTGCAAAAAAAAAAAAATCTGATATACGCAAGTATTCACAAAAAGTAAGAATAAGTTATCAATTGATTAAGAATTAACAAAGCAAGCTTATAGTGCTTACACTGAGCTTTTCTTTCCTACTTGACGCAGCGAATCATTTTCATTGAATACCTTTTAAAAAGAAGAAGAGGAGGATTTTATTTGTGAATTAAAAAAAAGAGCAATTTAAATTCATTTTAAATTTAGAAAAATAAAAATGCTAGCTGATCAAATACAGTATTCTGAAAAATATTTTGATGCCGTCTATGAATACAGGTTTGTATTGCTCGTAAAGAAGAAATTATTATCAAAAGAGAAGAAATAATGATATTTTATATTATTAGACATGTTATATTACCACCAGATCTAACCAAACTTGTCCCCAAATCACATTTGATGACTGAAACGGAATGGCGTAATTTAGGGGTGCAACAAAGTCCTGGTTGGGTACACTATATGATGCATGCACCTGAACCGCACGTCATTCTATTCCGTCGACCACGCACTGATTTACTTGCTACCGATACGATTACGGCCACTTCCAATGTGACACCGAACGTGCCCGAATCCCAAGCCAATTCGAATAGCAATGTGCCCGTTCAGGGTTAAGAAATGTTTTACTTATACCTCACCTTTGAAGTACGCACCGTATCCTGTATATTTTCGTGTTAATGAAGTTTCATTTACGTTATTTTTTGGCTATTTACGGATCAAATGGACTCTAGAGAAAATCCGTTATATGCTAAAAACAAATCATATCCTTATGTTGTTCTTTTATGTAAATAAATTAGTTTAAACAAATGCAATAGATGCATTAAAATTATCAAAGGACCAAGGTCCTTACTTTTGCTTTTTTTTTTTTTGTAAAAAAAAAAAACGAGAAAAAACAGCTTATAATGTTTGGAATAAAAAAACATCTCGTATATTCGTTTCCTTTTTTTATGTGTGTGTCTGGTGAAAGTATAAAAAGTTAACTGAATTAAATTCAAATAAGAGTACAATAAAAAAGGTGATTATTTTATAAAATGCATTTTTTTTACGGATAAATATATTGAATTTTTCCAAAGAAATATTGGGAGTGCATTTTTGCTTTTCATTTGTAAAAGTCGTAGATCGTAATTCGTCATATTCAATATTTGATCGATTTTTATTTAGTCGTTTCCGCTGTCCTCATTGACACCGCCAGCTGCTTGCTCCAGTTCATTTAACATCATAACGCCATCAGCTGCCTCATCTACAGCTACTACCGCTACAGCGTCTTGGACTTCGGCCGCAGCATCTCCGTCGGCTCGGAACTGGGCACGAACTTCTGGTCGAACTTCAGCTTGTGCTATGGGATTACCACTTGCATCTATTTCAAGTGGTGGATCCGCGTTTGCTTCAGCCAGATTTGTTACTGATTTGGACTTGACGCATTGGAAGTCGACATGGCGACTTTTAGCTTCTTCCTTCTCCCAAGACATATGTATGAAAGGACGTTGAACATAGCTGTAAATCACTTCGGCACGGCCGCCAGGACGGCGGCGAATTTTCTCTTTGTGCGTTGGATAACCCTCAATGCCGCAGCGTATTTTTTTAAGTCCCCTATCCTTCATGACTTGCTTGGCGACATCGCGATTTTCGATGTATTTGAAGAAACGATGCATTGTTGTGCTATGTATCGTTTGACAATATTCTTCACCCATTTGCGGAGGAAATTCTTCATCCCAATCGACGACATCGTCGTCCAGCAGCACAACTACGTGACACTCGCGATCACCCTTTTGAGCTGAAGTCACCATAACTGGCAGTATAAATTCTTCGAGAAATAATTCAAATTGTTGACGAGCTCCTTCGTTGCTTAATTCATGCAAAAGGCCTCGTAGATTTTGGCAGCGCACTGTAGTAGCATCAAATGGTATTAATAAATAATCGCAGGCCTCCTTCAATTCAGGAACCGAAATCGTAGGTGGGCATTTGATTACACCGGTTTTATAATAATCTAATATTGAGCGAAATAAAGAATGCGAAATGCCTTCGGCCACTTCATATTCTCCACGATCATTCGGATGAACAAACTGAAAACCAGTACTAAACATTGTACCCAACATAGTATTCGGATGGGCGGTCACCAACTCTTTTTCAATAACGAAACGTACATTGTCGACCAAGAGAGTGATGCGTTCGCTAGGAGAAGAGCGAGCAGCAGCAGCAGCAGCAGCAATAACATTTGAATTGCTACTGTTTTTATCATGTTTTGGTATTGCTCCATTCGATGATGTGTTCATTTTCGATTAATATATATGTCACACTTTTCTTTTCAAAGCACAGCTAAATTTCTCTTAACTATATACGAAATTTACGTTCTTGCCTTTTTTAAATCAAAAAGGTTTTTTTTTTGTTCACAAACTTTTCTTTGGTCACAAACAACAATAGAATTTGTATTGTGTAGCTGCCTAACTTAAAAATTTGTTACTACTTTCACAACATGACTTATAAACGCAGTAACAGAGCGATGTTATTGTTAATCGACATTAAACACGTAGTAAACTTTTTATGGAAAATAAACTCTAAGGATTTTAGAGAAATCTATTATGAATGGTGCCCATCTCTACTAACGCAATATGTTGCTTTGCATTCTTAAAGGTTTCCTTTTTTTTTAGATACGCTCGTTACAGCATATTTCTCTTACAACGTTATTAAAAATAGTCTGGCATGTTTTGTGATGAAAATCAATGCTACCAACATGTAAAAATTTGCAGTTGTCAAAGTCTAGAAATCTTCCATGTCACAATTCTTGTTGAATTCGTGTTGAAAACTTTTCTTTTGTCCCCGTTTAGATTCGAAAACCAAAAAAAAAACTGATTCTAATTGCAGAAGCATCCGGGTAAGTGATTTAAAATGGTTAAACAATTTAAATTTGTACACGGAGGAATGAAAATTACGTGAAACAAGTTAAAATCCCTTAGGTAAAAGTGAGATGAGCAGGTTGCAATTTGGTAATCTATCGTGAAACATTGTGTGTTTTAAAGCAGCAAGTGCTCCTTTTTTAAGAAGATTGTCCAACTGGTGTCCAAAATTAATGCAATTTCATATTTTCTGCAAATTTTAGATAATAGTGTTTTGTATGTGTGTAGCTTTAGCAAACAAAAATTTTATAAATTTCACCACCAAAGAAATGAATAACTAACCTAAGGTTGGAAATTAGAGTAGCAGATGTTCTACCCTTTAGTGAGAGTTTAATTTGTAAAAATTTCGTAAACGATCTTTTAACTTTAGGGAGCTACCATATTACGTATAATCGGATTATATGATCCTACGTAAATTGAGTGAAGATAATTTTATTATTAAATATTGCAATTTGGACGTAAAACATTATGAAGACATAAGAATATTTTAGTAAAACGAAAACGTTACTTGTTCAAAGGCTGTTCGGCCTTCAGTAATATGTTAGAACATGGTGGTTCTATGTTATATAACTAATTGCAAGTGGGCAATTTGTTGCGTTTAAGCAGAGCATTCAATAAAACACTTTTTATAATGCAGTTAAAAACCTTCGCATTAGAAGAAAAAAGTATAATATGTCAGACTATCACAGATGAGAACGCCCTTCTTTTATATAACTTTGCTAATTGCCAATCGATATTTTATCGAATTCATCAATGGGTGTGTTACGAATTAAGAATTGCTAAATCTTCGAGTATATAACGATGCAGAAGTGGTCTCTGGCAGGTTGGAGATTCAAGTTTTTATATATATATATATATATGGAGATACTGTTTATTTATAATGGAATTGCAACAAAAAAAAGAAGAGAACACTTTGAAAGAAAAAGTAATTTGGACTTTTTTGACACACATCTGACATTATGACCTCATTTTACAACCAAAAATTATAAAACAACATGAAGATATAGAAATTTATACAAAGATAGGAAGTAAGTAAATCATTTTTATATAGGGAATTATAAACGTTTTTAAAAGTTTCGTAATTGAGAAAAATGTTTCTGAGATAAATAGGTGAGAGGCTTTTAAAAATATTAGTTTCGATATCACTGTAGCAATATTAGCAAGAGAATTATATTCACATTTAAGCGAATTATTCAATCCTACTTTGATATGGGGAAAAATATCGTAGAATGATCATGGCTATTTCGCACCTGAAACTAATATTCCTCAATATCAAGCGGGCTTTATTTGAAGGGTACAATTTTCTTTTGTATGTGTGGCTGTACGCATTATTTATCACGTAACTAATTTATACAATTATGTGGTCTCGCTTAGATTTATAATCGCTATGTATATATTTTTGGCCCATTATGCAAGCGATTGAGGGCTCGACGTTAGCTTGTCTGTCCGTCTGTCTGGCATATATTCTTTGACATAATTTTTGAGAAATTTTGATGAAATTTGACATTTCCACATGTTTTGGCCCCAAAATTAACGCTAGTGGAAATGGTTCGAATTGGATCAGTTTGTGTTTTGATTCACTACAGTGTTTTAATTTTGTGTATTCAACTTTTAATGAGCTTTGTAGATTTGTATGCACTTTTGTTAAAAATCCTCTCAGCCTATTACGGTAATGTTTGTGTGTTTGTATGTTCATCTTAAGAATTAATTTGGAGCTTACTATTAAAATAATTCATATTAGAGAAAATTATTGAAATAAGGCCTAAGTAATTTTTTAAAACCCGTATGCAATAAGTTCATTAAAATATTAATGTTTGGATCTTTGATGACTTGTTTACTTGTTACTTCCAAATGATATTTTTATGCCTTTGGCTCCTCTTTGCTCTCATATTTTATTGTTTACTTTGTCACTAAGCCGAAGTCGAAATAATTGTGTATAATGAATGAGATTGTAATAAAGCTTTATATATATATATATAACGGCACGCATACAAATTGAAAATACTTTCGCAGATGTATGGGTAATGAAGAGCTTCTTTGTATACATAAAGACAAAAAGAATTAAATCAAAGATTTATTTGCTTTTTCTTTTAGTTCAGTTCATTTTGTTGACATGATTCGTATTTCATTTTAGAAAATGATGCAGAAACAGCTGTTTGTTGCTGTCTTTGTTTTATTATCAAAGCATCAAAAATATCATTGTAGCGACTAAAGCGAAAGGTATATTAGATTTATTAAATCTTGTTGACGCATATATTCGTGATTCTACATTGTATACATGTTTTTTCAACCAGCTTCAAGAGTGAAATCAATTCGAACTTGTTTCTTCTCTGACCTTCGATCTACTAATTAAAGTCCTTCTTTATGGCTTTACAACTTATTTCGGAAAACCAACTTTAGTTTGATTGTCTTCATATCCAACGCCGACGGATTATGTTTGTATTATGTTTGTCCTTATTTGCCATGATTTAGTCATGTCTGTCCGAACATTCACGAACGCAAGATCAGACTTAAACACAGGATTCTCGCATACATAATTAACAAAATTACTATGGCTTGTAATAATATAAAAAACGGTCGTTAGTGAGCAATGGAGAAGTTGAATGTGTGTACGATCTTACAACCGAAATGATTCCATTTTTAATCGCTCTGTAAAAATAATCCCAATCAGTCACAATTAACAGATTGTTGGGCAAGTTTTGTGTACCTTATATTGGTACCGAAGTCCATATGTCCGTTGTTCCATTCTATCTCCCTCTTTCTCTTAAGATTTGAACCAGATATTAATTTGAAGTATATCTCATACATTTATAAGAAGCTTCTTATAATTTAACGCGAAAATGACTGCGATGAGACCATAAACACGCTCGAGCAGTTAAAATTGTTTTATTCTAACTGCAGTTAATAAGTGCTTGTGTTCATTTTGATCATTTTTTGAAAAAGGCATTAATTGAGAAAAATTAGCACAATATAAATTAATCAAAACGTTTTTCATTATTTTGCACAACATTTTACCATATCTTGGGCGATATCGTGTCGAAAGAACTTGTATTGGTTAGACAACGATCCGATCGTCGACCCATTTTCGAACTTTTTCAACTTTACGGAGCTGTGCGCCAGTCGTGCCATGCTGTATCGATCTGAACAAGTGATATTCAGAAGGCACCATGTCCGGTGAGTAAATTGGGTGTGGCAGTACTTCTCATTCGAGCCGTAACAGTGTAATTGGAACAACGCTTGCTGCAACGGCCCAAAAAATAGTATTTTCAGTCAACTCGTTTCGTCACTTTTGAAACCTTGAAACCAAAACCGACAATTGGGATAAGATGGAGCAGCATTACCATAAGTTTTTGAACGTTTTCAATGGGCTTTGGTAGCAGATCTCTTCAAATAACCAGCAAAAGTATTGTAGGTCGAAAATGTAATTTTGATCGGTCCATGCGATTAGCGCCTGCATACGCTGAATATCTCAATAATATTAAATTACAAACTTTTATTTTAGGTAGAGAAGGGTCAAAATCGTTGTAGAATTCAGTGGCCAAAGTTAACGCAACTACCTACTGTGTTCAAAGAATGTACAATAAATCAAATGTACCAAAAATTATGCCAGTTGGCCAGAATCAACATAATCGTTGACAATGTCTCCATATGATATAAGGTAGCGAGCGTTAAAGATTCACTTTAACCAGTTAAATGTGTATGACGTTTACATAGTGATTTACCTATCCATCCATCCGAACTTGTCAGGTTTGCTCTTAAATTAAGTATGTGTATTTGCCATAATAATAAATCTTAGGAAATATTTTTATCATTTTATTAAATCGTTTCATTGCAATCTAATTTCATATAAGGCCATACTCTGTGTTTGACGAATCTACGTGCCATGGCTAAAGAGGTTAAAACAGTTAATTCGATAATCAGTACTACTACTGCTACTATTAATCTACGAAAACACATGATCATAATAGCAAATATTTGTCTGAGATTTTCAACAGTTACATACCTAAAAGATCTCGAAGTTCCACAAAAGAAGTCACATCTGTTTCACAGTTCCTTCTCAACTGTTTCTTATCACTCTTGTTAGATCAAAATTTCCATATTCAGTTAAATGTATTTATGAGTTTGTCTAGAACTTTTTTTGATTGTGTCTTTGACTGATAGTTTTCAGATTAAAAACTTTTTGTTAAAAAAAATCTTTCCTTTCAATTCCAAAATTACGTTTAAGTTGGATTAAAGTTTCGCAGTAACATTAAAAGTCATAGGCATAAAACAGGCGACACATTTATATAGGTAAGGACTTCAATTTATTACACTGGTCGTGTGGCGATGTCGAGAAAAAATATGCATACTTATAAAAATGTATATATAATATCGACATATTCGACGGATAATTTAAAAGAACTATTAAAATATTTCGTAAATATTTCTGATGGGCCCAAGAAAAATTGCGATTTTTGTGCATTACTGAGACAGTCAGATGGTTTTCAGGATGAATGTCTCACCTTTTTTGCTCACTAATAAGTAGTTCATTTACATTGCAAATATCTGCACAAGCTATTTGTGTCACGTTTAGTGGTGACGTTAGTTACGTTAAACAAGTGAAAACTCTATGGGAGCTGGTCACGGCCATATGCCACTGCACATTTTTTCGTACAACGAAGTTGCGAATTAAAGCATTATAGGGCAGGTAGCGGGAAAAGTCATCAGATCAGTTTTCAATAGCCTTCATGCTTAAGCCGAAATACTTTAGCGTACCAAATTTCATCCAAGTATCTCAAGAATTACGCTCTGTAGGTAGAATAACAAAATATAAGATCGGCAGACGGACAAACGGATAAAACTGGTTAAATGGAAAGCAACTCTGAATTACGCTTTATAGAACGCATAATAAAATGTAAGATACGATCGACGGACAGACAAGGTTAAATCAAAAGTAATTCTCAATCGATCAGTATGACGAATGATGGATCTACCTAAAGTCTTTCTCAGTGTTACATAAGTGCGCATAAACGTTTGTACCATGTGTTGTAGGGTATACTCGAATGCTTTCCTAATAGAGATTAATTGGTTTAAAATTTTGATTTTTGAGGAAAAATAATAATAGACACCAGATGATACCCTTGGCTTAACTCTCTAAAAGGCTATTCGCAATAGAACTTGAGTGTAAACTTTAAGAACCTTGTTAACGTGATGTGTGTGTGTTGTTAGATCTTTTGTGTGTCTTATTTGTCCATTAAAACAAATAAAACTGTCTTTCTATTTTCTTGCTAATAAGTTGAATATGCTACGAAAACTATTATTTGTTTTATAGGTGATCTTCCAAATCGTATCTACTTGTTCATATTTCGTTTACAGTCTTTTGTTCGCTTTTTATATCTATCAACGAAGGACAGATGCGTACGTTTATTTTGTCAAATCGTTTGCAACGCACGGGAAGGAGCTTAGGAAACTCCAAAAAGTACTTATATATCTTCGATCAGCGCCAAATTTTGATTCGATTTAAGCGTGATCGTCGGTCCTTTGGCTGTCTGTCCGTCTATGTAAAGCCAGTTGTAAACATTCTCATGATCGTAAAAATGAAGCTATTAACTTCACATTTGGCAGAAACATTGGAAGTTCCTATAAGCAAGTTGTTACTGAAAATGGGCCAAATCCCTCGAAGGACATGCCCACAGTGCAACGTAAAATGAGAACACTTCGGTTTTTCAAGAGGAATAAAAAATTGGTTATTAGCTGATTACTCATAAGCTACAGTAAATAAATGTACAAAAATTTGAACACATATTCTATGCTGTTCTGCAATACCTATATATAAATAGGACTAATTAACCACGCCTACTCAATATTATTATTTAATTTTTTTTCAATACTTTTATAACGTGCACTAGCAAGCTTCAAAGAGCCTGTAAAGTATATAATCAGTGGACCAGTTTTAAACTCGGTATGAATGAAACAGGTTAAAGAACACGCCTACAATCAAAACTGCGGACACCTTTTTTTTGTATCTCTTTGCCCAACCAATATTATTACTATATTTTCCTTTTTTTTTTTTGCTTTCTTTTCAATCTTTCTTGGGAAAACAGCTGATCACGACCAAATTGTTTTGCATAAATTGATAATAAACCGGGGCGCAACCAAATGATTGTTTATAAATTGATATAGGATCACGGTGATGGGGTGTAAAAGATTCGGTCGCAACCGAATATAATTTACTTACTTGTTCTCAGTTTGAGTTGGTGGTTTTATATGTGTTGTTGTTCACATAAATGAGGTGTTTGTGTCCATAAAGGTTGTTTTCTCGGTTGAAAATTTATATGAATTACGATGCTATGCTTTTAAAGACAACTTGCTTAGCGCGGCGAAGAAAAATTCAATATTTTCTAGTTGACTTTAAGAAAATTCATGGATAAATGTCTATTTTAGTGTGAAAGTCAAAGCAAATTGTTCATTGATAATGACATTTTTTTTATTTATTTTTTTATATATTTATTGTAACAAGCTTGTTTATATTGGCCTATATAAATAAATAAAAAAAGACCCGTAATAATCTTTTTAAATTAGTATCAAAGATCATTGCAGATTCAACTAAACTAGCTTAAGGTTTAACTTTAAGTGCAATAGTAAAGCATTAGATAATCGCCGATGGAACTGAGTTAGGAGAATGAATCTTCACTTATAAATCAGTTTATTTAATAAAAGTAAAAATTTTATTAAGAATAAAATCAGTAAAAAATTTGTGCAAAAAAATCTGTAAATATTAACATTATAACAAGAATAACAAACAAAGTTCTTTTGTCTTCTCGCAAATTGTATCGCGATACTAGCAGATAATGAAACAGATTCAATTTAGTGTAACACTAATGTGGTAGCCATATTTGTTTTTTTACCATTTCGTTTCTTCTCCAAATATACATAAAAATATGATTTTCACTTATGAAGGAAGTGAGGGTGCGTGTGTTTGTATCAGCACAGCTGTGTATTGTTTGTGTTTGTTTAGCGGTTTCAATTGTTCATAACGTTCCCTTGTTCATGGTCAGTCGTCAGCTTTACTTTACTTGAATACATAAAAATTTTTATTTTAATCGAATACAGTTTAGTTTCTGTTTGACAATTGAGGAGAATACATTTTTTTATGTTACATATTAATACGGAGAAGTGAAAAACAAACATACATCTGCATATAATATATATATAGATATATATATATATATATTTATATATATACATATATATATTTAGTATTATACATATAAAGTGAAAAAAAGTTTCTTCTTTTTTATTATTTTTTTTTTTTTGTGTATTTATTGTACAGTTAATGTGAAAATGTGTTAGAAACAATCAAATGTGCACTATAATGCAATTTTTTAAAATTACTTTAAACATCAATGCAATTAATTAATAAATTCCCCCCTAAACCATTGCCTGTCAAACAAACACACACAAATGTTTAATTGAGCCCAGAGGAAAGAAAAAATCGATTTTTGCCTATTTTAAGTGGAAAACACAGATAACAGACAGTCATGATGAATATTTGAAGCAAATTTTTTATTAAAAAAAAAAAATTTTGTTTCAAAGGAGTCTTCAATTATTAATACAAAATTTGAAGGAGGGACGAGGAGGGCTAATGAAAGGATTTAAAGAAAAGTAAAAGAAAGTGAGAACTGGAGTAAACTCGTTGCATTTTTTGTAACATTTGTGATAATTAATAATAATAATAATAATAAATTTTTAATATTAACATTTTAAGTACAAATTAGTTAATGAGCATAAAGACACCAACACCAATAAAATAACTTTTAAGAGTTTTACTTAACATTTCCAAGTCAATGGCACTTTTTTAATATCAATCAGTTTTGAGAACATTTAGTTTCTTACACAAAAACAAAGTGCAATAAAATACAGTGTTTACATTCCCTGCGTGTTAAAGAAAAAAAAAAACAAAAGACAACAATGGCTGACGAAATGTAAGTTTTTATTTAAAATATGCAAGTTTTCTGTGCTTAAAATAGAAAAAAAAAATTTTTTTTAAGTCGATTACTAAACAAAGAGAAATTGCCTGCTGTTAATGTGTATAAGTGCTTATTATCGATATCATACAGAGGAGGGCTTAGTTAGTTAGTGTCTAGTGTTCATATATTTTATCTGAAAAGTTAGTAGTTAAATTTTTTGCCACTAAATCAAATGGGGGAAGGAAATGTCTTTCGGTCTAATAAAAATGAATTTAAAAATTGCTGTAACTTTATGTATACTTGCATATATGCACATATATATGCATATGTAATTTACGATTATATGTAAATATATGCATTTTGGTCGTTACGAATGCGTGTACATAAATTAAAATCTGTAACCAACTAACATTGCAACATTTTGTTTGTTTCATTTATTTCACATATTTCCACCTTGTTCCATGCACTTTACAGCGTATTTTTCATATTCTCGCATCATAACATAATCCCGTATTTTACAGTGTACATGATTCTGTTGTCGTTGATTTCTTTTTTGTTTCTTTGTTTTTAGTTTCACGTAATTTTTTTAAAGTTGCATCAGAAAATTTTTTTCAATTTCATTTCAATTCTTTCAATAAGCTAAAATCTCTTAGAAACAATGAGACCTTCGTAATGAAAGCAAATAAATTTTAAATATTTCTACTGTAAATTCTCTGATCGAAAAGCTTTTGCAAATTCGTTTCATAAATGAAAATTATCTACGGCCCTGCGTAAATTTTAGACATGTACCATCACTGAGACGTTTTATTATAATAATTTCAACAAATCTACATCTCAACCAAATTTTCATCAATACTGATTTTAGATTTCAAAGAATTTGAAAATATGTATGAAATGTTTAAAATTAAGTCTCAAGATTATATGTATATATGTATTGTTTAGATCATTTTCTTAACAGCTGACATGTTTGTAGATCCTTAAATAACTTGTCAACAGCTGACATGTTGCTGTAGCAGCATATTTGCCTCACAGATGTTCAATAATGAAATATGAAACCTTCGCTTTTTGTGCTTACCTTCACCCTTGGGTGATGGGTATGCTCATTTTGTCAAGACGTTTGCAACGCCGAGAAAGAAGCATTAGAGACTCTACAAAGTATATATACTCTTGATCAAATTCTAAATTAATTTAAGCATGTCCGTCTGTGTGCCCATCCATATGTTGTAAGCATTCCCCTGGCTGCAAAAATGAAGCTCGACATCAAATTTAGCAGAAACATCGGAAGTTCCTGCACGCAGGTTGGTGTTAAAAATGAAGTAAGTCGGTCGAGGGGCCCACATTACCACGAAAACTGGGAACACCTCTGATTCAAGAGGGATAAAAGGGAGGGAGCGGTTTTTGCTCATTATTCATAAACTAAAGCTTCAAAAACTCCATAAAGTATATGAATTCTTGGCCACTTTCAAATTCGGAATGGACATAAACATGTATGTCTGTTCGCCTGTCCATCTATCTGTCTGCACAGCTGCGAAGTATCCGTGGCAAACATTCTCCGGTTAGCGATAACGAATGTATCGCCTATAAATTTGCAAAAGAATTTGCAAGTGACTTAAGCTTTTCCAAGGACACACGCCAGCTATGCCCATACGTCTATGCCCACAAAACTTTCATTTCGAAAATAGAAAAAATCTGCCGCGCCCACTCCATACTATAATAAGACTGAAAATTTAGTTTTTTTACTTGTCTCCCATTTTCTAGGATAACGGTGATGGGTATAAAAGATTCGGTCATGACCGAATATAATTTTCTTACTTGTTAGATATTGAAATAGTGTTTGCGTTTCTTGAAATATTCATCTTTTTTTCTGCTTTTTTTTGCTTTTGTTGAGATATTCATACTTCTCAAATGTCTGCCTCTTTGTTTTTTGTTTTCGTATTTCGTTTATTTTAACTCGAAGCTCAAATGATTCTATCATCCGCTGATAATGCACAGTTAAGTCTCGCCTGTTTGATTTTGTAAATTATTAAAATTTCTTATCTGCCTTGGTTTTTGCTGAGATTTGAGCAAATTTTTTTTATTTTTTTTATTTAGATCAATTTTCATTAAACAAATGAAGAGCAAGAAAGCTATCTATTTATCATCCTATTCGCAATTGCTTGATTGCGGACTTCAGCAAAGACCATTTAAGCTTTCTATTTTAATGTTTGTTTTGATGAAAAAGCGGGAAATGATATAAAAAACTAAATGGGCAACAGTTACTCACGTTGTTATCTATCCCTGTGTGAGCTCGTTGTGAATCGTGATCTTTTTTAAGGTAGACGTTCAGATGATATTGATACCGATTTGTAGGAAGCTTGCAAGTAAAATTTACTATGTTCATTGCTGGGGATATTAGCTTCTATTCATTTCAGAATATAGTCACGGGCCAATCGAAAACTTTCATGAGAACCTCAGTCCGCTTTGGTATACAGTTGTAGAAAATTCTAGACTAATATTTGCTGTATTGGATCATTGGTTACGATCAAAGTTTTCCTAGGTTATGGATCAGCTGGATTATATCGTTACGTCGTTACGACAGCATTTGTGGCATAATTATAGGAAGTTTTAGATCAATTTCGGCCTTTGGCAGTAGTAGAAGTAGTGTTAGCTGGGTCGAGTTCTTTAGCTATGCCAGGGTAGGTATGGTATGGTTCTAATCAAACGAATTGACAATATTTTTTAAGATTCATTGTTATGACAAATACACGGAATAGGACGGATGGACGGATGGGTGGATCACGATGTAAATACTCGTCATAAACATTTGAGGCGAATGAAAAAAAATATTTCGTAAAAATTTTGTTTTGATATGACCATCCCATTCAGGGGATGTCCCCTACTCATGTAACACGATAATCGTTGGAAAGAAGTGAGAAAAAAGAGAAGGAAATAGCGAAGTGGTGATGATTATAACCTAGTTGCCCCTAGCAGGTAAAGGCCAATTGGGCACTCAGCAAAGCTACGATCGAAGTAAATTTTACCGCACTGAGATTTAAAGTAATGAACGTTGAGTTGGTAGTCGCGATTCTTACCTACTCGGCCACTCATGTGGATGAAATCAGTATTGACAAGAACACAGGAGGATGTCCGACATACTTAACACTGATGCCATGAGGACAAGAAGACATCTTATGGAGTCTCGAACTATGTCTTTCACCAAAAAAAAAAAAAAAAAAAAAAAAAACCAATGTTATAAGAAATGTTCATACAGTGCAACTACTTATAAATATAAGATGAAATTATTTATTACTTGTTTCCACTCGTGACTGACTACAGGTAGAATGCAAGTCATGCATGTCATATTTAAAAATTGATAAGCTTTTGTTTTTTTTATTAAAGAAAAAACATTCGAAATAATATACGGTACGTACTGGGCGCACTAAAAATAGAAAACGTTTATGAAATTTTTACTTTTATATATTGTTGAAAACAACACAGCACAATAAATAAATATTATAAATTATTTGAAAGTGTCAGTGAACTTTATAGGATTTGTTTTTATCTCAATAGCACCTTCGTAGACTTATTAGTTTAGGTGTTGTGTTCTCTACTATTTTTCAACTTATAAAAGAGAAAATTTCATAGAAAAATTTCAATTACAAATAATTTTAGTTTCATTTCATTTACTCTCTACGTTTTTCAATGAATTGAATGAATGAAAATAGTTGCTTAAGAAAGAAATTGAATTTTGGGAAATGATTTGAAATATAAGTGATCATATGTTGGTGGAGGAGGGGAGGGGGATATATATGAAAATCAAGGTGAAAGTTTTCTTTATTTATTGATAGTAATTAGTGAGTAATGATTTACATAAAAAATTTAATATTTGTATAATAGATAAGATCATGAAAAGTTTCTCAAGATAGGGGGAAAGGGACTGAATGATTATTGCAACAGTTTTTGGGTCACTTGAGATAATAATGAATGATGAATTCATATAAGATTTCGTCCTTAATGAGGGCAATTATCACTTTATGGCTGCATAAAAAGTGCCCTCTTTTCAAGTAAAGAAAATATTTTGCTTTCCTCAAACCAGCTTCGAGACCTAATTAACCTTGTCTCTTTCGATTATTAACTTAATTTTCGTTAAACGTGATAGAACGAATTCATTTCAGTTCATGCGTTGAATTTGCTGATCGTGTCATTTATTGCTTTGTGTTATTGAATTTTTTATCCGGATATAATTAGGTGTTTCATTTCATCCTTTACAAGAAAGAAATATATTAAGTTGTTGTTCCAAATGCTTGTAAAAAAATATAATTTCTTTTGGTTTTCATGAATAAGGGATCCATTTAGCCAGTTCACTGTGTACGACGAGTATATACGTTATGATCCGTCCATCCGTTCTTGGCGGATTTTCTCATAAAATTCTATCATAATTAATGTGTGTTTGTCAATAATAATATTATCCGCCGAGAAAGAAAGAATCGCGACTACTAAGACAGTCTTCGCTGCTTTTAATCTCAGTGCGGTAGAGTTTGCTTTGGTCGTAGCTAAATGTTTATCATTATTAATGCGTATTTGTCATTTCGTCAAGTAGTTTCATTACTATAGTTTTGACGAGTATACTTGTCATCGCTAAAGGAATCGGTGCAATTAACTGGTTAAAAAGGTCTTTCTCGGTGCAATTTTTTACTGTAAGATTTTCGAATTTTAGATGCTGAATAATAGCTGCTGATCAAATTGTTTTATTTTTCCCAATTTTTTAAAAACAAAAACAACTAAAGACTTGGTCGAGCAAGACAGACCATTACCATCGTCGACGTTATTCACATAACAACTTTGCAAAATAAGGCCTTATACAGGAAATGCGCGAAAAAGTGATCCGATCCGAAACGTTCTCAAGATCATTCGTCCTTGATCTACAACACATTAGCGTAGCACGTTTTGTTAAAGTATTTTAAAAATCGCTTTATGTAGGTAGAACAAAAGAAAACGGGACGATCAGACAAGTTGAGATCGATTCGGAAAGTAAT